ACTACTACTACTGCTAACTACTACTCCTACCACTACTCCTCCTACTACTATCAGTACTACTACTCCTACTCCTACTCCTACTCCTACCACTACTACTACTACTACTACTACTACTACTACTACTACTACTACTACTACTACTACTACTACTACTACTACTACTACTACTACTACTACGACTACTACTACGACTACTACTACTACTACTACTACTACTACTACTACTGCTACTCTGTCGCGTCCTTCTCTTCACTCCTCCCTCCTCCTTGAAATCCTCCGCCCCCCGTCCCATATTACCCCTCTCTTCCTCCTCCTCCCCCTCCTCTCCTCCTGCTGCTCCTCCTCCTCCTCCTGCTCCCCCTCCTCCTCCTCCTCCTCCTCCTCCTCCTCCTCTTCCTCCTCCTCCTCATCCGTCTCCTCCTGCCTCTCCTCCGATTCCTCCTCCATCCTCCCCCTCTTGGGGTACGACGTCTTACCCAGCTGACTATTCCACTGCATTCTCCTCCACATCCCTGATCAGGGCAACTCGTCTGGGCATCGATTCTGGACGGGCTGGTGGGGTTACGCGAATCGTCTAGAATATTGTCGACGAAACCGGCTTCCTGGGGTAACCCCCGTTAGGCCCCACTGCAAATGCCCCATTGAACGTCGAGAGCGAGAGCTTGGCGGTGTTTGTAAGGGGGGGGGGCTCGTCGAGACCAGTCGGCGATCGCAGGAGACAGTTTGCACCTTCAACTGGAAACATGGCTCAGAGAGAAATAGATACCGATATCTACACTCACCCCTCATTCACACCTCTTTGGGCATCCTTGGAAGCCCTCGTCGCCACGGCTGGATTCGCCTCGGAACCCTGGTCATAGCACATAATGGGAGAAAGGTTAGGGGATTGCAGTATCAATATCTCGTTGTTCCCCCAATGAGGTGGTATTCTTCCAGCACGGGTCCTCTTCGCATATGACCACGAGCGCGGGGTACTTGGCCATGATCGCGTCCTTATCTGCCTCTGTCAAGAAGCCATGCACGAACTTCTCTGGACATTTTGCTCCTGGCGGGCATTCTTCAGTTCCAGTACAGAACGGGTTCTGGAACTCATTGCACAATGTTTTCACCTCATCAGCCGTAGCATCGCTGTTCAGCATGCAAATCCACGACTTCGGATCAGCAGCAGTCGACATCTGCATCAGCCCGAGGTCAACTGCAGAGGCCAGGCTGGCCACGCCGCTGGCCCCGACCAAGCTGGCGATCAAAATGGCATGCGCCATCTGTGAGACGAATGGAACAATTTGGCTGCGGTAGGTGTGAGTGTACGGAGTGTGCGGATGAGGTTCAAAACTCTGTGAAAGCCAACCGGAGGCAAGCTAGCGCGAGCCAAAACGGGCACGAAGAGGCGTGTGGGAGCAGTTGGGGAGCCGCTGGAAAGCTCCTGGGTGCAACGCGGCGGGTCCTCATGCCCCTGAAAGACAGACACACAACAACTACGAGCTACCGCGCGGGACAACCACGGGACAACCACAGGACAACTCGCGGACAACCATGGGGACTCTGGGCCACCGTCCCCGACGACAGAGGTCAGCTTTGGTGTCGGACTTGCCGGTCCTCCAGCTTGCTATCGCCTCCCGCCTCCCCGCACAATACGACACGAAGTCAATCAATTCCGAGACCGATCTTTCCCGGTTGGGCCAACTCCGCTCGCAAAACCGCATGTCCAGCAGTAAGCGAGCGGTGCTTCGGCAATTCGACCACCCTGGCTCCTTGATTCTAACGGAACTGGCTCCGCGTTTCCTGCCGCCTCTTTCGGGAACAACGGGAGACGCTGCTGCCAGTTTGCATGCTGCTGCCGGCTGCCGTGTGCTGCTGCTTGCTGCTGCTTGCTGCTGCGTGCTTGTGCCACCCGCTACCCCTTGGTTGTCCATTCGGACCTGTTGGCATGTTCGGCCGGGTTAGGGGCATTTGAACCGTTGTGGGCGCCACTCAGACAATATCAAAGATATGTTGGGGCCCTTTGGGGCCTTGTCTGGACCATCTTGGCTCATCAGATCGCCTGCCTTCACACGGTGTCCTTCCCTTACCCGGTACGGTAAACTAACCAACTAACCGATCCGCTGGCCGCCAACCTGCCAAGAAGTGCAGATGGCCAACCAGCCAACAAGCCAACAAGCCAACGAATCAATCAGCCAGCCAGCCAACCAGCCAGGAAATTCACTAGCCAACTTGTCCATCAGTGAGACAGCCAACCAGCCAGCCACCCCGCCAGCCAGTAACGGGGTCAGAAGGCAGAGTGCGAAGCCAAGCAGCCCCCCTGAAGAATGCACTTGGAAAAGCGCTGGAAGCAGTTCCCCGAAACGGCGCTTGCACTTACAGGTGTTTACTCGTTGCGCAAGGAACTGCACGACACAGTGCGCAGGACACGCCGAATTTTAGACTTGGGTGGTGGTGTTCGCGCAACAGTCACCCGCTGGTCCCTAGGCGTCAGCACACCCCGAGGGCGTTTTTTGAACGACGATATTCTTTGTTGGAGGCGCGGCAATCATTGTCAGTGTAGGTTTGCAGTCGGCTTCGTAGCAGGCGAAGCTGGCATTCTGCGCGGATTTGGCGCTCTGGTCAATTCGTGCGAGTTGGTTCCTGGCACAGCCAGGCGGAGAAAGCGTAATGCGTTCTCTGCGGTTCCAGTCGAGCACGTTATCTGCGCTTTGGTGTACTTGAAATGCGATGGCGGTTTGTTTCAGCCGCACTTTCCTTGTTGAGACGTTTTCTGGAGAGGGCTCGGCTGTGAGCCTGGAGACAGCAAAGTGCCCTGCCTATCCCTTCCCCGCTCCACTACCGGCTCCAGCTGCTCCTACCCCATTTCCTCATCGCTCCTGCTCCAGATCCTCCTCGTTGTCCTGCTGGTCCAGGTGCTCTTGCACTCAGTCTTGTAAGAATAGAAACAAATTGCGGTGTCCATCGGTGCTTCTTTACTCCCCGAAGAAAGCCCGATGGCTCGTCCGCCTGCCCCCCGCTATCTCTGGAAGCCTGTTGGCACCCAATCCGCGGACCCCTCTGGAAGCCCGATGATGGCCTAACCACCTGCTCCTCCGGAACATCATCAAACAATCATGTGAAATGAACAGAAATCACAAATAATCATACAAGCAAGTATACAAAAAGCCCCAAGCAGATATAAATGGTTTAAGATGCGACCCCGCGTAAAATCGCTATCACCGCGTTATAATTCATCTAAAACGAAAAATCCGCCGACCCCTTGGGGATCATCGGCGTGTGAGATGCTCCCATCCCCAAACCCCTCCCCCGGGAGCCCGGTCCGGTCGATTTGGAGGGGGCGGGGGGGCCCGACGAGCGCGTCACGGGCTCTTCCGGGCCCAAGAGGGCTTAAAGATGGGCCAAGAAGGCCCCAAGAGGGTTCCAAGACGGCCCACGAGGGCCCCGGGACGCTAAACGAGCGCTCCAAGACGCCCAAGATGGCCCCAAGAGGGGCCAAGAGGCCTCCAAGACGGCCCCAGGAGGTCCGAAACAAGCCTCCCAAGAGGGCCCCGAGAGGGTAAAATTGTTGATTTTCCCGTGTGTTTTTCTGTTTTTGTGTGCCTTTTCGCCTGGTCGGCTTCCCGACTTTCCAAGACGGCCCAAGAGGCCCCGAAGACAGCCCCAAGACGGCCCAAGAGGCCCCCGAGACGGCCCCAAGACGGCCCAAGATGGCCCCAAGACGGCCCACGAGGTCCCCAAGACGGCCCAAGAGGGCTCCAAGACGGCACCAAGAGAGGCCCCAAAGGGCGACCAAAAATTCAAAACATCGAGTTTTCCGCCCCCAGGAGCCCCAGGGGGCCCCAAGAGTGTCCCAAGAGGCCGCCAGAGACTCCCAAGAGGCCCCCAAGACGCCCCAAGGAGCCCCCAAGAGGCCCCCAGGAGGACCCAAAAAGACCCCCAGAAGCTCCGAACCGGCTCCCAAATGGCTACAAAACTGCCTTCCAGAGGCCCCCGAGAGGCGTGGCGCGAGATCCCGATACACATGCAAGAAGCCTCTAACCCAGAACCATGACCCAGAGCCTTCTCTCTGTGTCCCCCTCCTCCTCCTCCCCCTCCTCCTCCACCTCGGCCCCCAAGTGGCTTCAAAACTGCCTTCGAGAGGCCCCCGAGAGGCGTGCCGCGAGATCCCGATACACATACAAGAAGCCCATAACCCATAACCCATAGCCCAGAGCCTCCTCTCTGTGTCCCCCTCGTCCTCCTCCTCCTCCTCCTCCTCCTCCTCCTCCTCCTCCCCCTCCTCCTCCACCTCCTCCTCGTCCCCCTCCTCCTCTTCCCCCCATCCACCTCATCCTCGTCCTCTTCGATTACTGTTCCCCCCCATCCTCCGCCTCACCCCCCATGCTTCTCCCCCCGTCCTCCTTTTCCTCCCCAGCACGCGCGCCCGATTGGTCATCAGTTGCACGTCTTGCACTTCAAGGTGCCCTTCTTTTCGTCGTGCGCGACATTGATAGGGTTCACGGAGAACGCCGACTTCGGTAGTCTTCTTTTGCACGGGCCGCTACACTGATACGCCTGGCAACTGCGCGCTGAGAACCCGAGTGTCTTACAGGCTCCGCACACCACTTTGGCTCCTTTTGCATGTCGATGATATTCCACTTGATTATGCTTCAAAAGCTTTGTTTCAAAGACCTACCAGGAGTCCCAAGGGGTCGGCGGTGCGGCGTAAGCCAAAGAATATACAAAGCAGTTATGATGGCAGATGCTGGCGAAAACAACCTACGTCACAGGCCCGCCAACTCACCACTGAGAGACGGGAGCGCCAGACCGCAGCTGAGCGGCGGGAAAGCAAGGCCTGACGGCCTCATTGTCCTGCGTGGTTCGACCGATGACTGGGAGCGTCATGGCGCACGGTCACGCGAGGCTTGCCTCTGCGACTGAAAACGACTCGGTTTTGCGCATCTTGTCCGCCGGCACGTCGTCCAAGAGGGACAGGTGATTGGCGCACGCCTCTGCAGGAACGATCACGTCCCCGTGGTCATCTTCTCCTAGGAGACCTCCGACAGCAAATTCGCCCTAAATGCTTCACGAACACATTGAGGTAATGGAGGCCACGATCCGCATGCCCGTACACGACTTTCAGCTCAACTTTACCAAGAGCAACCCATTCAGGAGTCTTGACCTCATTTGCGACACGCTGTAGTGGTACCCTCCAGGTTGTTTTGCATATGCCCACGATCCTGTGATGTTCAGCTCCTGGGTGTACATATCCGCACAACGTCCTCCCAGTCGGCGCGCATCGGCTTGGACGCGAAGCAATGCGTTTTCGGCGCTCATTCCACGAGAGATGTTGATCAGAACATGCTGGCCCGTCTTCATCAAGTCGAACCGGTCACCATGAATAGTTTGCAAGTGGGGATCACCAGTGGCAGCACCCCCGCTCGGCGTCGGGCTGGGCGTCGGGTTGGGCGTCGGACTGAGCGTCGGGTCGGGCGTCGGTGACGGCGTTGCCGGGGGTGGTGCTGGGGGTGGTGCTGGGGGTGGTGCCAGGGTTGGTGCCAAGGCCACCAGATTGACAGTGGCTGGGGTCGTGGGAACTCCAGTGACATAGCCAGAGCGCTGCGAAGCCGTCAGGAGAGTCCACCTCTGCGAAGCGGTCATGGATCCCGCCGTTGGGTTGTCCTCGTACATGATGGCCGCCAGCCCAGAGCCGCGCGGACAGGCCATGGACGTGCCCGAAGAAATACCCAACGCGACGTTGCTGCCGATGTAGGTCGAGAGGATGGACGCGCCTGGAGCCCAGACATCGATGCAAGAGCCGTAATTGCTGAAGCTCGACTTGGCCCCTGCCGAATCATAAGATGCCACCGTGATCGCCGACGGGACCCAGGCTGGATTGTAGTTGCACGCAACATTGTTCTAATTCCCTGCAGCAACCACCACGGTCACGCCATCGGCCACCAAGGCGTTGATCGAGGTCTACTCGGATGTGCTCTGGCCAGCGCCCCCAAGACTCATGCTGACCACAGCTGGCCTTAGACCAAGCGACAGCACATACTGTTCGTGGACCAAGCCGCGAAGCCGTCGCCGTTATTGTCGAGGACCTTCATTGCCCACAAGGTCGCGCCGTCCGCGACGCAATGCGTCGAGGCCCCCACCGTGCCCGCGCAGCGCGTTCCGCGCACATGGCCGTCTGCAGCGCACGTCGCGCTGCTGGGCGCGCACACCGCGTAGGTCCCCGTGGAGGCAATGTCGATCCCAGCAAATGCCCGGCCGCCGAACTCGACGTGGGTCGCAAGAATGCCAGCGTCCAGCACATACACGTTGACACCCGCGCCCCGCCCCCGGACCTCGTCCGCGCTAATGTCTCGGATTCCCCACGGGTATGTCCGCCGAGTGACTCCTTCTGGAACGATGTACTCCCAGGCCTTTTTGACGAACGGGTCCTCTTCGCTGGGGGGGGGTCAAACAGCCACGCCATCACCAACGAGAGCTAGGGAAACAAACGGTCAAACAAGCACCGCGTGCGTCGAACTCAGAATCGCTTTCCGCGCGCATTCCTCTGTCAGAGGAGGGCGCACACAACGAGCACAGGGAGAAGGATATTGGAAGCAACTGCAGGGGGGGCGGAGGAGGGGGCGCGCGGGGGGACAAAGATCGATAGACTCACGGAGTGCAACGGGAGGGTCGATATGTCACATCCGTCTTCCTCCCCCCCCCCCCCCCCGCAAAACGTATGCCCTGGGGTCCTGCCCCATCCCCCCCTTCTCCCTCGCCCGCCTCCTCTCTCTCCTCGCCATCACCCGAAGTCTCACTATCATTCCTACGCCGCCGCTGCCGACGAGTTGCCCCCGAAAACACGGCCCTCCCTCATCGCCGCGGAATGACGCATGCGGCCCTGGATTACTCCCGACAGGGCGCAGCTGTGAAGGGGCCCCCCATGGCCCCCTGGTCGACCGCGCCCGTGCCAAACCTAAACCAGACGACGCGACGGGGGGGGGGGGCAAAAACGGATCGCGCCTTACAACGTTGAATATGCGAGGACGCTTAGAGAAAACATGTTCGGCCACATCTAGGCTGAATGTTCAAGAACACACCGTGGCATATCATCCAATATATGATGCGTTCATGACCCGCAATCGATTCGAAGGCATTGCGTTGCGTCGCGCGCGTTGCGCGTGTGTTTCGCAAACGACCGCGCAGGCGCCCGCGCGCTTTCCTGCGAGCGAGCGACCGGACGCGCCCGTGCGCTTGGACGCGCGAGCACGTGGATTGCGCGCGCTGCGCGCTTGCGCCTGAGCGCGCGAAGGCGCAACACGCGCAGACCACGTGCGCGCGCAAACGCAGGGAAGCGCGCGCGCGTGCACGCGCGCGCAGGCAAATGCGCGGACGCGCGGGAAACGCGGGCGCTTTTTGCGCGCGCGAACGCAATACCTCACATGCAATTCGATTGCGAGCCACGCATACACCATATTTGGGCTACTAAGTTTTGGATTTGTTTAGAGTACTCAACATAGATGTGGCCGAAACTAATTCCTGAGCGTCCTGAATACTCAAGGCGGCAAGGCGCGCCGCCGCCACAAATCCGGGCGCCGAATTGGACGACAAAGGGACCAGCAAGACAAGGGCGAGGAGGGCCAAGCACACGCGGAGAGGGAGAGCGGGGAGCCATGAGCCACAGCCGACGGGGGGGGGGACAGACCTGACAGAGGGGGCGGGCGGGCCGACAGACGGGGGAGGGGAAGCGAGGGGAGAGAGAGAGAGGAAGACGCCACACCACAAGGGCAAGGAAAGGCACGGAAAAAGAAGGAGAGGGAGCCGAGAGCCGAGGACGAGGAGCCGAAGGAGGAAAAGGGAGGCACGCGCACAAAGGCAGGGAAGAGGAAGGAAGAGGGGCACGCAGCCCCAGGGCGTGCGCGCGAGGGCGGAAGGAAGGAAAACAAAGATCATCGGTCGGAGTCGACGTCTTCGTCGTCGAGCACTGGGACGTCGAACGCCTCCACGACCGGCGCCCCTCCCGCGACTTGCCGCCATCGAGCAACGCGCGGCCGAGGACCAGTCGCGGCCAGCCGAGGAGTGGCTGCGCGGCGGGAGGCGGCGCACGATTCCAGCGCGCACGAACTCTCGGTGGATGATGACCGACCGCGACAAGGATCCGCTCAGCGAAGGGGTCCATCTGGATCGAGAAAGCGCCCTGCCCCTCGTCTGGCCCAGGGGCGCCGACGACGCCTCGCCCCTCGAGCGATGCATGGGGGGCGCCAGCGGCGTCGGGCACGCCAGCGGGACAACAGCGCTGCGCGCAAGTGCGTCGTTCACCGATGCCCCAAGCAAGACCGCCTCTACGGCGCGATTGACGCGGCGAAACTGCTCCCAAGTGCCAGATAGAGTCAACCGATGGTCGTCTTGTGCCACATCGGGCGGTGGCACCTGCACTCGCGCCCCCGTCTCTCTGCGGATGGCCTCCACAACGTTGCCCTTTGCACCGATGACTGCACCGCGGTCACACTTCAAGAGTGGGAGGTGTCGGACTGCAGGGGCATCTCGACCGTGCCGGCTGCCAGCACATTCAGAACATTGCACACTGGCCACGCGACCCGCATGATGTGCCGCGATCAAAAACAAGCCACCGAATAGTAATGTCGTGATGCGGCCATCCGCTATCTGGCATGATGCATTGTCCGCGGGCCTCAGACAGTGGCACCTGTTGCACCAGAGCCAACGCCTCCAGCATGCCGTCGCGATCGTCGTGAACGCTGCAGTGGCGGAAGGATGCTGCAACAATGATCTGACGTCAGGGACGTGAGTCTTTGTCCCCAAGAGGGCCACGACATCGCGCGAACAGGCTCGGAGGGATGCTCGAGCATACTCCAGATCTGGTAGCTTCAACGTGAGACAATGCTGCAGCGCATCGACAGAGCCAGCCATGATCTTTTGCTGCGTCCGCCTCGCTTCCCGGATATGCTGCGACAGCGATCGGTGAACATTTGGCAAGCTGGTGCTCGTCTGGCCGTGGCCAGTAACAGTGTATTCACACGTTCCTCACACAGCTCGTTTTCCATGAGTTCACCTCCACCACACTCTCCTGGGACGGTGAACGAATGCATGAATAACTGGCGCGTGCGTCGGCATTCCTGTGGCTTGGACAGGTTCGCGGGGTCATCCTTGAAATGGAGTAGGCCACGGTCCGGGATGATATCAACACTTGCGTCCACTCCATCAAGCCTTATATATCGATAGTGCACTGGACGAGTACGTGTTCGAACATGGCGCCCTGTGCCTGGGGCGCCGTCTTGATGCGGCGGACATGCGCCCCAGTAATCTGCCCAATCTTGAAACACGATTTCCCTGGCATCCATGGGAGCACGAGCCGGTCATGAATGATCAGTTTAACTTCATTCAGTGTTGCAGCGACGATTGGGATGAGATCGTGAAGGAACTCCTCCAAGAACACCGCATTCGACCGCATGTCAATCAGTGCAGCTTGTATTCTCCCTGTGTCCGCGAACGTTGCCTGACTGCCCACGGAACAACAGGCATCCAGCAGCGCCTTCAAAGAGTGCATACAAAGATCCAATACATACGGGTCCACGATACGAATGCGGGTCGGCATCGTCTGCGCAAACAGGGGCCCATAGAGGAATCCATAGGTAATGCCTTGTTGGCCTTCGCTGATCGTTTTCCGTTGGAGCAGCTGGCCTGTGACAGTGGGTGTCCGAGGATTGGAGATGGAGCTGCTCGGCGCTCTCTCACTGAACGGCCACTAGGGAACCTGGCCACCTGACGCACAATCTAATGCATCCAATCCGTGTCCGAGATTGCCTGGACCGGCACTCGGCGACTCCAAGGGCTCCCGAAGATAAACTGCTCTTCTCGGCGTGGATGACCCGGCCTCGTTGCTACGAGCGTCGCCGTGACCGGCCGCGCAGCATTCAGAGCAGTCGTTGCCCCCGGCCGGGCATGCCACGCCTCCGCCGCCGCTTTCGCCACCAATGCCCCCACCGCCTCTGCCAATATCCGAACCGACGCTTCCGCATCTACCTCCGCCTCCGCACCCCGCACGACCAACAGTGCGGTCGCCGCTTTCGTCATGCACATCCTGCCGGCCCAGACCTGTCGGCGCGTCCGCTGCCCGGGGAGACGACCATGCCCAGCACCACGCACACTGAAAAGCAGTGGCAACCACTAGCACGCTACAGCAAGGACAGCAGCGGCACCCGTGGAGCCCCTGGAGGAGGTTCAGCGTGTATCCGAGCATCGAGGATGTAGAGCTCAGTTGAAGCATAGCGGTCTCGTGCTTAGCCTCGAGCGTCGCCAACCGCTCGGTCAGTGCCCCTTCGTGGCGCTGCGCAGCAGGGGGGGGCGAACGATGCTCATCTCCTCCACCCTCGACGGGACGATCCTGATGCCCAACTCCGTACCCCCCAGCAGCATGAGGAAGCTGAAGAAGAGCACCTCCGCAACCATCAGCGTCAAGGGCCCCTCTGCGACGACCAGTGGCAGAAGACGAGCCAGAATGACTATCTGTGGGCTCGCCAGCGCCAGGCGCGTCCTGCTCGTCACGCCATCGCCGGCACCGTGCAGCCCTCCGCTGCCTGCGCCTTCGCGCGGCAGGAGTCTCTGCGCCTGCGGCGGCCGGCAGACAAGGCGGCCGCCTGCGGCGCGGAAGTTCTGCAGCTGCGCCCGCCCAGGAATCTGCAGCCAGCAGTGAATCCACGGCGGGCGGAGCGTCGGCGCCAGCGGTCCAGGCGTCATGGCTGGCGGCAGCGCTGCCGCTCCAGGCGCCTGCGGCCATGCCAGGACTGGGACAGACAAGAAAGGTAGGAGAAAGGGAAAGAAATGGAAAGAGGCCTCCTGGCGGCCGCGGCTTGACCCAGAGCGGCCTTGAGCCAGGCTACGGGCTGGTGGGGTTACGCGAAGCGTCTAAGATATTGTCGATGTCTGCGGCTTCCTGAGGTAATCCCCGTTAGGCCCCACTGCAAATGCCCCATTGAACGTCGAGAGCGAGAGCTTCGCGGTGTTTTTTTTTAAGAGGGGGCTCGTCGAGACCAGTCGGCGATCGCAGGAGACAGTTTGCACCTTCAACTGGAACCATGGCTCAAAGAGAAATACATACCGATATCTACACTCGTCCCTCATTCACACCTCTTTGTGCATCCTGGGAAGCCCTCGTCGCCACGGCTGGATTCGCCTCGGAACCCTGGTCATAGCACATCATGGGAAAGGTTAGGGGATTGCAGTATCAATATCTCGTTGTTCCCCCAATGAGGTGGTATTCTTCCAGCACGGATCCTCTTCGCATATGACCACGAGCGCGGAGTACTTTGGCCATGATCACGTCCTATCTGCCTCTGTCAAGAAGCCATGCACAAACTTCTCTGGACATTTTGCTCCTGGCGGGTATTCTTCAGTTCCAGTGCAGAACGGATTCTGGAACTCATTGCACAATATTTTCACCTCATCAGCCGTAGCATCGCTCTTCAGCGTGCAAATCCACGACTTCGGATCAGCAGCAGTCGACATCTGCATCAGCTCGAGGTCAACTGCAGAGGCAAGGCTGGCAACGCCGCTGACCCCGACCAGGCTGGCGATCAAAATGGCATTCGTCATCTGTGCGATAAATGGAGCAGATGGCTGTGGTAGCTACGAGTGTACCGAGTCCAGAGTGTGCGGATGAGGCTCAAAACTCTGAAAGCCAACCAAAGGCAAATTAGCGCGAGCCAAAACGGACACAGGGGAAGCGTATGGAAGCAATTTGGGAGCCCCTGGAAAGCTCCTGGGTGCAATGCGACGGGCCCTCATGCCCCTGCAAGGACAGACACACAACAACTACGAACTATCGCGCGGGACAATCACGGGACAACCACGGAACGACCGCGGGACAACCACGGGGCAAGCGGGAGACAACCGCACGGGACAACTCGCGGACAACCATGGGGCCTCTGTGCCACCGTCCACGACGAGAGAGGTCAGCAGTGTTGCCGGACTTGCCATTCCTCCAGCTGGCTATCGCCTCTCGCCGGCTCGCGCAGTGTTCCCCCGCCCGCGCGCACAGTACGACACGAACTCAATCAATTCCGAGACCGATCTTTTTCGGTTGGGCCAACTCCGCTCACAAAACCACATGTCCAGCAATAAATGAGCCGTGCTTCGACAATTCGACCACACTGGTTGTTTAATTCCAACGGGACTGGCTCCGCGTTTCCTGCCGCCTCTTTCGGGCACAACGGGAAACGCTGCTGCCAGTGTGCATGCCGCTGCCGACCGCCGTGTGCTGCTGCTTGTTGCTACTTGCTGCTGCGTGCTGGTGCCACCTGCTACAACTTAGGTGTCCATTCGGACCTGTTGGCATGCTCGGCTGTGTTAGGGCATCACAATCGTGGTGGGCGGCACTCAGACAGCATGACAAACATGTTGGGGCCGTTTGGGGCCTTTCCTGAACTGTCTTGGCTCATCAGATCGCCTGCCTTCCCCTGATCTCCTTCCCTTACCCGGCACGGTAAACTCACCAACGAGCCAACCAGCTGGCCGCCAGCCTGCCAAGAAGTGCAGGTGGTCAACCAGCCAACAAGCCAACCAGCCAACGAGCCAAGCAGCCAGCCAGTCAACCAGCCAGGGAGTCTACCAGTCAACCTGCCAATCGGTGAGCCAGCCGACCAGCCAGCCACCCCGCCAGCCGGTACGGGGGGCAGAAGGCAGAGGGCGAAGCCCTTGAGACATCTAGGTGTGCGTTACCCTCCGTACTTTTCATATTTAGGCACGCGTTCGACTTTGGAACGATAACCCAATTCCCCCCGCCCCGTGGGCGGTCCCAGGTTGTGTGGCTGGGTTTCGGGACTCTTCCCCCCTCTCGGCTCACCCGCTTTTTTCTTCCAGCTGTTGCTCATGCTAGGGACAGGGGGATAGGAGAGGATCACAGCAAATCAAGTACGCACCAACGATGCTGAAACACACCCTCCCATCAAAGCCCACGCCTCAGAAATCTCTATAGAATAAGAAAAACGCCATAACCATAAACGTTTGGCGATCCGCGCGAATTTCTCTGACGCGCAGAGCGCGCCAGGGGCGGCACCGGATGCGCCGCCGGGGGCCGGGGGGGCCCAGCTCGGATTCAAGAAATCCACGCGGAGCGCCACAGAGAGTGTCCCATCAAAAGACTGGCGCCCTATAGGGACCTGCCCTTCAGGGGAGAGGCCAGCTCAGAATGTAAGAGTCGCCTTCCGTCCTGGTGGCGAGTTCGGCCTTGCCGAATGCATCTGGTGTAGAGGTCCAGGATATTGGTGTTGGTGCTGCCAAACGCAGCACCAACACAAATATCGGCGGCGTGCCTCCACCGAGGGAAGATGATGGTGGCAGTACTAAGGGTTTCCTAGGTGGCCGAATATTACCACCAACGCCAGAATCTAGGATCACCTTCCCCTGGCGGAGGCAGCCCCCTGTGTTGGTATTGGTGCTCATTTCCAAGTCTCCAACCTTAACGATCGTTTGGAAGAAGTGGATAGAAGCATAAAGGCGGAAGGTTGTTGGAAGTAGAGTGCATCTCCGCCTGCCCCCCGAGGAGGAGGGAAGAGGAACGACCGCTCGACCCTTGAAGTGGGAAGGCGCCCAAGGTAGATATGGGCTCTGGGAGGCCAGACACGTATGATTTCAACAACGTGTGGGCACTTGTTTGTGGCAGAAAGACCCGCCCTCGATCCGAGCAGCCGTCTTAGCCGCATGGCACATTGACACATATACGCTTCGAAGCCTCGGGCCGCAAGCGGCCCAAAGATGATCTCAAGCGAGAGCACCATGCTGCAAGGAAACCGCCCCCCATCCCAGCGGGAAGGGATGGGCGGAAGGGGCAGAACGCCAGTCATGGCGCGAGCGCGCCTAGCTTGCCTCGCCTCTCCCTCTTCCCATCCCTCCACCCATGACGACGCGGCCAGCAGTGTACGCACTGCTGGCCGCCTCGTCCTGCCCTATCGAGCCCGAGGACGTCCTGTGACGAAGCGGCCAGCAATGCACACACTGCTGGCCGCCTCGTCCTGCAACGTCGAGCCCGAAGACGTGCCCTGGCGGGGACTCCCCTCCTCGGAGAAGAAAGGGCGTTCGACGACCTCCGCCCGCGCAGCTCTGCGACGAGCGCGTGCGCACCGCAGCGGGTGTGCACGGCGCGGGCGCGAAGACCACGTCTCGAAGACTACCTGTGCGCCATCCGTTGCCCGCCCGGACGCTGCCCTGGGCAGCCCGAGAGGGTGCCTGCCAAGACGCTGCCCTGGACAGCCCGAGGGTGCCTGCCGGGACGGTTCCTGGAAAGCTCGAGGGTACCTGATGGAACGGTTCAAGACGACTGCAGCTACTGACTGCAGATTCGGGAGCTGCTCAGCTGCTGGAACTGCTGACGCGCGCTCGGCGCCGAAAGCTAAGGCCACGTGCCGAAAACTGCCCGCCCTCCATCTGCGATGAGGTTGGGCTCGAACCAGACGGGCTTGCGCTGAAGGAAGAGCGGCGGTTTGAAAATCACCCGACCAGCATCCGCGCGCCCTCGGGAGATGCCAAGCTTCACGAGCATGGACTGTGATGAGTCTCAAGCGAAACACCCAGCCCGCCCTGCGACACGTCTGGCGACGAATTCGGTGGCATGCTTTTTAATACAGAATTCCGGGAAGGCATTGATGAGGGGGCTCTGACATGTTGTGTGGAGTAGACTTGGCTCTGAAGCACTGTTTGATCTTCCGCGGAGTTGGAAACAGAAGATGGGGAGGAGGACGAGGAGGAAGATGATGAGGACAAACAGGGGAAGGAGGTTGAGAGGTATTGCTGTTGATTGGCTCTTCGGAGCTATATGGAGTCCTGGGGGGGGTGGAAGCAGACGAGAGTAGAGGAAAGCAGAGTACAGGAGAGAGGAGAGAAGAGGAGACAAGGGAAGAGAGAGGGCAGAGGGAGGAGAAAAGGGAGGAGAGAAGAGGCATTGTGATTCTTCTCCGGGCGGGAGGGTAGGCAGCACTCTCACTCCACGAAGGCGCACACGACACGGGCGAAGAAGACAATGATGAAAGCATACCCGACAAGATGCCATCCGCTGCGACGAAAGAGAACTGCCCACTCCAGCAGCA